TGATGTGAGTGGTGCAGATCGACATCGACATGTCTACAGGTTCTACAGGAGGAGCTCACCTGCCCCAGGTAGTCCGGACAGGGAACCTCAGGGACAATTAGAAAGACCTTTGCCCTTTGCTCCTGACCTAATGCTTGCAATGTAGAATAACCATAAAAAATAAAACACACCAAATAAACAGAAATGATTTTGTGCCACTCAGTCTAAGAGAGTTGCACTGACACAGGTCTCTTCTTTTTAAAAATGTGATGGAAGTGTGGAAAACAGACACTTTGAGCCCTTTCTAGCAAAATGTCCGCAACAGAGACATCTGTAGGGGTTGTGCTTCTCACAATTCTGAGAACTGAATCAGGATCCACATCACTTCATGTTTTGTCAGGGTCTGATTATATTTCAAATGACAGGAGCTGATGAGTGAAAAGGGACTTAAGTGGATAGGTGGTCCTATCCCCCAATAAATGAATCTCAAATCAACCAGATGCTGCTTGTCATTTATTAGAAGTAGCCCTCACTCACTGTCCATAGACAGGTGCGCAATTACAGATGCAGATACGCTGTGGGCTGCGGTGAGACTACACAGGTGTACGTACGTTTGTAGCATTGAAGGAGCTGTTATATCGCCAATTGCCAGCACTTAGCTAACGTTTACGTGAAACTAATGATGAGGTACGAGGTATTACCAAAATATTAATGCCATTATTTCAATTATCCAGAAACAGATTCTCCCAAGAGTTTTATTTGGGGCCCTTGCCTGGAACAAACTTTCCTTTGCAGAGCTAAAGAAAGGTTGATGCAGGAGCCCAGAGGACATTGGGGGCGAAAGAGCGCCCCCTACCGCATATACAACGTACCTAGCTGCCCGTCATTCCCATACACCTATGCTCAGCCTCCCGTCCCGCTGTGGGGCTTCTACTTTTCCTTCTTGCCGGGCATGCAGAACAACCATGAACATATGAAAATACACATTTGCGACAGGGGAAATATAGATGCCCTTAGATGCTAAGGAGAGATACGTTCAGAATGAAATGAGAAAAGAACAAATGAGTGGAACACGTGCTCAAATCATTGTTTCCGGCCACAATTCATTTGTAGAAGACCTTCCACAGTTAAGGTCCAGCTTTGTTTTAGGATTGAGACCTGCCTTTTATATTTAGCCGTGTATATGTAATTTAAAAAGACCATATAATAACTCTTCGACCATGAAGAAAAATCACATCTACACACAATGTTATATTTCATTGGAAACATCACTTCGAGTTCCCTCCACTGCCCTTCCCAAATCTGACCTGAACTCTAGGTATTGGGAATCCTGGATTTAAGAGTCACTTACTGGAATGGTGAGCTGGCTGGTCTGTTGGGCAGAATGAGAACCGTCGATCAGAAGCCATTTAGATTTGATTTCTTTCCCAATTATGAATTGTAATTACACAGGATGTAAACACGTGCTTAAGTGGTTGTAAAACTCCTCTGACACTTGTCACACTATTCATTTAGTAAACTAAATATTTAACTGGGGTCTTCATCATTAGGCACCAACTGACTTGAAAGATTCTTGCAATGTCTTCCTTCAGCCTTTGGACCCATTCCCCCCCGCCCCCCCCCCCCCCAAAGGAGAGAAAAAAGAGACTGAGAGTGATGATACTAATCTCTTTGCCTTTAGGTGTTTATCGCACCATGAAAGCCAAACAATTACTCAGGGCTTCCTGAGGTGGGCATGTCTGGTAAATAGCAAAATGCTATTTCCTTGGAGAATGTTTCTTGCCGAGTTGCACACCACAAAGCGAAAACCATTCCCCCACAGAAGCTGCCCTCCTCCAGAGCGCGAATACAAACGAACAAAAATGACATTATGTTCTTGCCTGCCTGGGGCAGAAAGAATCACCTATTCTTAACAGGACTTCAGGTGTGATTTGCTGCCATTTTCCTTCTTTTATTAGATTTGAATGACTGTCCCCTGTAAGAGCAAAGGGATGATGTGGTATCACCAGGGCAGGGGGCCCGGAGTGGGGGATGGAGGTGCAGAATGTCTTTAAGGTAATTTGACACATTCTTGCCACACAGGAATTTCAGAGTCTATTCAGACAGACGTAGGAGGGGAGTAATTATTTTTTCACTTTTCCAGTCAGATTTTTTCCCCCTAGAAGTCAAACTTCACTAATTAAATAATAGTTAAAAGTGACGCCTCTGTTAAAATGGGACTAGGTTAAGAAAATGGGTATTATTTTTACTTCCATTTCTCTGCAGTTTGCTTCAGCTAGCCTCGCTAACTCTTGAGTGTTCACATAATTAGGTCTCACAGAATAATGGCCCATTTTACCAGCTATCATTTCAGGTTAATAAAAACATCACATAATTCTAAATGTTTCTACTCCACTTTAATTCATCCATCAACTTAAAGGAGCTTTTGGGTGATGGAAGAAGGGGGTGGGGGCATGGGTTCCAACATTTATTAAATGCTCAACCATTTAAATCAAAACAACACCTCCTGAAATCATTTATGTCTTTTTGGTAGACTTGTTTCAGGACCAGTTCTAAAAATGTCTCGGAATTTTTCTGGAGGATAGAATGGAGATTCAGGTAGCTGTAGTTTTTCAATATGAATATAAAATTTTCAAAGATTTTATTTTTCTCATTTCTTAGTTCAATGCAATAATATGATTTATACAAGGGATATGACTGTTCCTTAGTTGTTTGGCTCTTCAGATGCAAAATGAAGATGGTTGCAGGTATTATGAAGAGTTAAAGTTCTCTATAGTCCCGAGATTTTTGGTGAAAATTAAAAATATGCTAGCAGGATTCTTAATTGTTTCTGACGTCAGATTATGTTGAAGTGCAGTTTACACTGGGAATCTGTTAGCATTATAGATAACTAAAGGGGAGAATTACTTTGAATGTAAAAAAGTGAAATGTAGTTAGATAAAAATAAGAATTCTCAGGCCCTCCCTGGTGGCTCAGCAGGTTAAAGCACAGCACTAAGAAGCTAAAGCCACTGTAGCACGAATTTGATCCCCACCCTGGAGGTGACCACATGGCGCGGCAGACCTCTCCTGACCCTCCCGATGATCACCTCAGCAGTGTACATCCTCCATCTGCCTGTTCTGCTCCCCACTCTGCCTCTGGTGGGGAGCCCCTGCACCTCTGGACTGGACCCCAGTATTCATAAATAAAAAAGTCTTAAAAAAAAAAGAATTCTCTATGGAGTTGGTCAGAACTGTCAGATGTGTGCCAGATGAATATTTGGAAAGACAATTTCCAGTTGATTAGCATGTCGTCCTTATGTTCTGAGCCAAAGACCACATTGTTCTTAATCAGACATTTGAATCAAAACTCATATCTATATTTTTAATTCCTATATGTTAACCCTGTTCAATCTGATATCCTGAAAAAACCCGAGCAATACCCAGCTGTTGTATTGTTCTAGATATAGCTTGGTTGCTACCATCATTGCTATCCATGCTGATAAAGACTGAAAATATAAATGGTAGATAAGGAACTCTACCTTAGATTTCTGAAGCTGAAACTTTACATTATCCTAGACCATAAACAGATAAATATTGAATCCCACACACAAGTAGATAGAACGTGTAGCTCAGTTTCCTACTTGTTCTACATAATCTTGTGAGCAGAAATAACACTGAGGCAGGTGTTTGATTTAGTATTTAACAAAAGGTAAAGTACCACAATGCATTTTGGGATGGGGGTCTGTACAACCCCAAAATACTGGATTACTAATGGTGAAGAGTAAAGGCAAAGGGATAAAAGACCTGATCTCAGGGTTTTCTCACACCTGTGCCGGCCCATCCATGGCCTCTTGTATGTCAGGAAGGTCAAAGGTCAGAGAGAAGGTACAGTGGAGCATGAAGCGAGCAGGATTAGCACACACCATTTGCCCACTGCCAACCTTTTTTTATGTTACCTGGGGAAGAGAGTTGGGCCAGTTCGGAGATTTGACTCAAGGACATCTCCTGCGGTATTCATCCAGGTAAGATCCAGGGCAAACGTAAGACCACAAACCGTATGTCTAAATATTTAAAAGTCATAGAACAAACAAATATAAATAAAACATGGCCCATCTTGCCACTTGGACAAAAGTGCTTGACTGCTACCAGGAAACTCAGGCATGGATCAGAATCCTTAGGCTGTCAGTGCTGGCCCCTGGCCTTGGGACGTTCCTAGTCTGTCTTCCTCCAACCTCACAAGCCCTGTTTTACCATCCCCAACCATGAGGCTTCCCTGCAAGAGGACTTTTCTTGCTCCCATCTTCCTGCAGTCACTCCCCACCCAGGCCACCAATATGCCTCCCACAGACTCACCACTTGTCACTTTTTGTACCCAGGGATATGTACTCAGAGGTTGCCTGCCTTCAAGAATGTGCAGCCCTGAAGAGGCAATCACCCTACAAGTGGATGGATGATGTCTAGCTAGAGAAGTCTAGTTCTTCATTATTGAGACAAAGAAGGAAGAAGGTCAGAATAAGGCAGCCTTAGCAAGTGCTGCTCTTTGCCTAGGCTACGGTCCCCTGTGCCCCCTGCCCTAGGGTCTCTAAGGGCCTGAGATGAATCTCTCCCATGTCACTACAAGGCACTCATTTCTTTTCTAGGAATCTTTGGACAAAGATTTTTTTTTGAAGTTTTATGTTTATCGGTGGTGTTGCTAGAAGGGATCCTATTTTACTCAGTGGTGAAACTGATAGATAAACTCCCATGAAGACTATATTAACCCACCTTAAGGGTTACTCCAAGCAGAGACTGAGCAAGCAGTAGAACCTGAAGTCCACTGACAATTTAGTACCCACTTTTCACCCCGGCCCCTGGTGTTAAAAAGTAAAATCATAGATGGAGCCAGTTTTGCAAGAATGATGGAAAGGAACAGAAAAGTAAAATCCACTGAGCTGGGCTTTTCTCAAAGGAATAGACCCTTTAGAAGAACTTGTGAATCTAGATTAAAAAGACCATTTCATTTCCATTTGTTATATACCTAAAAGTGAAATTTTATTAAAAGCAGATCACATCACTCCAGGAAATTCAGAAAACTTATCTAAATACACTGAACGCAAGATATTCCTCATCAATTTAGATTCTTATAGCTTCATAAAGATAAAATGCAGATGAATTGATTTAGATCAGGCCTTCATTAAATTTTAGAATTAGCTTTTGGAATCCCACATATTGAAATGTGCAGAGTCTGATTCCTGAGCATTGTGACAAAGCCATGAGTGGAAAATGATGATAAAGTGCATCGTTGCTAGAAATAACACAGTCTGCCTTTGGTTTGTGTTAATAAACTATAAGACAACTTAAATTCCAATTTCAATATTAGAAATCCACCTCATTATAAATAATCTCAAACTCTGTTACTGGTATTTTTCATATGTATTCTTTGGTGAGCCCAAAATATAATTTGCTTGTTTATGCTTCTAATGTAAATCTCCAATTTCTGCGTGGCCACTCTGGCACTAAGCCAGCACTCTAATTTGTTTCCATCTTTTCTTATTTCTTACATCAAAAGAGACTGGTGGTCTGAATAACAAACATTCAATCGATTTGGACGTGGGGTGGCAGGCAGCACGACCATTACCTGTTTACCTGTTATTGCCTTCTTTGAATTGGCTTTTCTGGGAACAAAACCAATAAGACACGCTGTTCCTTCATCTAGTTTTTACCCAGGTTATTTATCAGAAGACATTTCCCCCGTTAGCCAGGGGTGGCTGAGGGTGAGGAATGCAGACGGGAAGTAGGATACTGACCTCGAACTCTCATTGGTTATTGTCCTGTAGGATTTCACTGTCCTGAAGACTCTGGCTGGAGCTGATAATTGTTTTTGATTCCAGGAGGCCTGCCAATAATACATTTGTAACCTGCAGGAAAACAGTGTGCTGGGAATGGAACAGACACTGTTTTAGCCACTTTGTACTTTGCAATGATTCTCTCTTCCTCCCCTTGCCATCTTGCTCAGTAATTGGCCTAATAAAAGGCAGAAATAAGAATTTATTACACCTTGGGCGATACTTAAAACAAACTTTATTCTCAGGAACAGCAGTTATGTCTACTCGCTGCTGTCTATTTTGATATTTCCTCTAAATACTTAGTCTGAATATATTCAAAGTCAAATTGCTAATCACTCAATTTCCCTTCTACTCCCCTGGTTGTCTCTTGTGAAACTCCATGTAAACACTGGAACGGCAAAGATACATAGACCGGCATCCCTAGTCACATGATCACATCAATCTGTGAAAATAGCATGACTTAAAAATAAAAGTCTCTCAGTACTCTGCCAACAGGCTTTGGCATCATCTTGGCAATCACTTAAGATTTTGTTTATTTATTTATTTATTTTTTGCTGTTATACTTTTTCCCAGGTGGAAATAGTCTTATATTTCGCAGAAGTTGTCCAAGCTAGTGAACATCAATCCGTCTTCCTGGATACTAAATTCGTCAGCTGAATGTATTCAGTCCACATAGAAATCAGTAAAGCGAGTGTGAAAGTGCTTGGTGGTTGCGCCTTTCATCTTAAGAAATTGCAATACAAATTCCTGAAATCGTTTACGCAGGAATTTTTATTCTTTAAATCTTCCAGTGTTAAAGCAACAAGAAAACACTTAGAGAACGTCCTTTGGTGGAATCTTATTACACTGTTATATATGTAAACTGATATTCTTTGATGCCAGTACTTCCGTTGCCCTTACAGAGAAATCTCTGCACAATGAAAACAAAACAGAACGAAAGAGGACAAAAGAAAAATGTCAGTCTTTGCTGATTCGAATTAGATACATGAACAGATTGTCTGGTAACACAAATTGGCAAGAATACAAAAAATCTACATCTTACAGTATTTCAAGAAAAATAACTTCATTTGAATACAAAAGGATAGATACACTTTCTCTCTCTTTTTTAACCTATAGCCACTCTGGACAGTGGATGGTGGCTCCGCCGGATGACTGTGCTGCTAAGATATACGGGGGTATGACTGGCTGGAGCTTCTGGAGGGGGCTGTTAACACATGTGCAGTACTAACATCAGACAAAGAAATCTTTCAACCAACAAGGGTTACAGAGCAACGTTCACTAAAGCACAGGTTGGAAGGGATTCGGGGACTGAAGCAGGCCAATATGGCAGCTTGTAACAGGTTTCCTTATACCCACAATGCACTGCCAGCAAAGGATGCTTCTATTTGGTTGGTCCACACGGGGCCACGTGGCCGCGGCGCGCGCACCACGTGAGAGTAGCAATTGTGTTTTTTACGGTGGGTTGACGTGTTTGTTCGTTTTTGTCTTTCCTGTGGAGGAGGGGGGGCTGTCCCAGCCTTTCCCATCGGCAACAAGCTCTGCAGCTGGCCCTGTGATTTGCAGTGATAGTATCAACAGCGGCCATCTCCTCTGGAGTCAGAAATTAACAGTCTTGACTCGGATGTGCTGTCGACGGCTGATAAATATGGCTTAGTTCAGTTAGGCCTTCTTAGTTTATACACTGTGTCTGAGTGGGGTGTCTATGTGTTTCCTAGGTTAGTAGCAAATACTTGGGTGGTGCTGGCCTCCGCACGGCATGGGCCTGTCCGGTGGTGGCATCGCGCCTAGAACACCAGGGGGCTGGCGATGCCCAGCACAGTGGCAGTCAGCAGCAGCAGCAGCAGCAGCAGCGCCGGGGAGCCCCGCGGGGGTGCGCCCTGGCCCGAGCCGGAGCCCGAGGGGCAGCTGCCAGCCTCCTCACAGCGCAGCTTCTCACACAGGATGCCCGTGTATGCCGCGGGGCACAGACAGCGCAGGTTGTTGTGGCAGGTCCCGCCGTTCTGGCAATGCAGGAGCTCGTTGTCGCAGACATTTGCTGCAGAACGAGGGGGAGAGTGGGGGATGGGGGGGCGCAGGGAGGAGAAGCAGAATCAATTTAAGTTCATCTGGTACATCATGTTTTTAGCTTTAAGAAAATCTCTATTGACCTGGTGTCCCCCTCCCTCCACCCACGAGGTATGTGACTCCCAATTTCCAAAACAAACGTAGTTTGCTGCCTTTGTTTTGATCATATTAGTCCAGTTCATATAGATTTCTGCTGCAATCTTGGATATTAACATTGTCCATGTCGGGCTATCAAATAGAAAGTAATGCAATGCTTCTGGTGTGGCAGTATCTTCTCCTCATGCAACTGGGACCTGTCGTGACCTCCAGGGTTTTTAAAGGACTGTTGCCTGATACAAGAACGCAAAGCTTAGGAACCAGATGAGTGGTAATTAAAATGCAAAGCAGCATTGCAAAAATGGCCAAGAACCTCTAAGGGATAGGCCATTCTCCCCCACAGGTGATTCCAGCACGACATGCAGGAAGACCGAGCCAGAGGGAAAGCTGGGGTGGGGGGTGGGGGGGCAAGGAGGTGTGTGTGGGGGGAGCAGACAGCGGAGGTAGCATGCTCCAGGCGGGCGCCAGCCAGATTGGAAGAGAAAGCTGTTTCACAGGAGGAATGTGAGGAAGAGCAATCACATTTGCCTCTGACAGCCTATTAGGATATTTATCTCTTTGTAAAGAGGGAAGTGGAATCCAAGGTTACCTTGATTTCTGGGAATAGTAATAAATGCACCGGTGAAACCCTGATTAATCACCAAAATTTCACTCTGTCCATTGATTAATAGAATCGGTTTTAATACATCAAACACATGCAGAGACCAGAAGGTATTCATGGTCCCTGTCATGTAACTTTCATCTCCGATAATTTCTTCAAAATTCTGTTTATCCTCATTAATTTCATGTCTTCTGTTTTTTCAGTTAATCAAGGTTTCACTGATTTAGCAGAATGTTAAATAGAACCTAGGGAAATTAAAACAACAACAAAGAGTAAAAGAGCCAAGAACACTTCCCAGCAACATATGCTGCTTAAGCATTTAATATATGGAATCACTCTAGAATGGGGGGAGGGGCAGAGCAGAAAAAGTAGCTTTTGATAAATAATAACATTTTTGATTTAAAAAAAATGTTCTCAAATTTCCTCTGGATGGTCACGGGAATCTGACACACACATGTACACACACACACATTGTTACCAAGTGTAAAATATAAAAAAAGTCACCCTCCTCAGTCATTCAGCAACTCAATAGAGAATGTTGCCTTCTCTATTAATCATGTTCAGTAGTCATGTCATCTTCAAAAGAAGCTTCTTACACACAAACATGCTAATGATCTGTGTAAATGAGCCGAAAGAAGATGGTGGGGGATGGTCACAGAGCTAATAACCAAGTGCTCTAAACAGGACCCATACAGTTCTTTGGAAATCAGGTTATATAATGTTCTGGCATGCTTTTCCAATGCACCCACAACTTGCTATGTGTAGATAGTAGATATAACTTTTGAGGGCCTACTAAATGCTGCAGTATATTGATTTACAAGGCAGTCTTCCGGGTTTCTTATAATGATACAGACTCTCTCATGAGGTTCAGACCCACACTCAGGGTTTTATACAACATCTGCAAGTATAGTGTAGTTAGACTCAAGGTCAAACTGTCAAGCCTCTTTTGGGGGGCTGTTAATTTAGAAAGCATGCGTAGGTTTTCAGGATTTTGTTTTGCTTACACTTCAGGAAATATCTGTTTAATTGGGGCAACATGGAATAAACAGATCCAAATAACTGTTTCCGTTTAAAGTTAAAGATTCTTAGCATTTCTTGTTCCAGGCAGCAGGTTGCTGAATGGGATATTTCCTTTCATTTGAGCACTAGATGTAAAGAAATATCTGTTCCATCAATATCGATAATTGCTTGCCTTGAATAATTGAGAAGAAATCAATAGTTAATTAAATATCACTCCTCTTTTTTTAAAAAAGCGATTTTTCTTCTTCTTGGAACTGAATGTAAATCAGTTGTTGGAGAGGTTTCTATTTTCTCAGAAACTGGTGATTAAGTTAAAATTCAATACCTTCCCCACATTTAAATCATTGACTAGTTGATGTTGATGAAATTTAATAAGTATACAAGGAACAGATGTAGCCCGAGATTAATAATCTCATAGATTAGGGGGATCTATTTTCTGTAAAAGATAAACAGAAAAAAAAAATCTTAGAATATACTTCATTACTTTAGAATCACAATGAGACACATTTGGTTTAATGGTTCTGCTATAGCTTCAGCAAATAAAGAATTTTGGCATATGCATAGAACTCTGTCAGAATCATGTGCTAAAAGCACATCAGAACCTTAGCTCTTACCTGCTATTCATAAACTTTAGTTCCATCTTCATATCATTTTGAACAAAAACTGTGAAGCTTAAGAATAATCCAGATGTTTTAACAAAAACCACTGAGCTCTTGCTTAAGCATATGAAACCTTGTTCTAAATACCACAAAGAAAATAAAAGAAATAAAAGGCCTAATCTCTGCTCTTATGGAGTTCAGGTCTGGCTGGGGGGATAAAATATATTCATTGGGGAATGACAGCTAGTCATTTCATGAAAACACCCTTGTCAATTTGTTCTGATTCGAGTAACGTCTGCTATGTAGCAGGCACCTGCTAGGTATTTTGCTTGTAGCTCCCCTTGCCCTAACGGAGCACATATTTTGGTGGGAAACAATAAAAAAAAACATAAGTAACTATGATGTAATATTCAAAGATTATGAAGGGCATACTTGCAAATTGTTAGGGGAACTCAGATGCTGGTGTAAATATTTGGGGGCAAGTTTAGAGATTATAGAAGGGCGATTGTATTTGTACAAGGACATGCATCACACATATATTAGTAGGGAAGCTTTATGGATGGACAGTCTGTATGAATAAGGACAAGAAAACACGTAAATGCATTGCACTGGGTTTGGAGCAATTGTGTCTCCATTCTAAATTACTTTTCTTTTTGAGGTTAAAGCTAGACTCCTGTAAACTGTCTCCTGGTTTCCCCCAACAGGGGGTGCTAGAGAGAGCAGAGAAGTAGAAGAAGGGAGAAGAGACTTCCTTTTCCATTTGGTGGCTCCTCTGGACCAACGGTGCTTTTACCCCAACAATAGTGTTCAGCTTTAGCAGAATCCACTTTAGTAGAATCTCCCTGAGATCCTCACATCATCTTGGGGGCATTCTTTCCCCAAATGTTTGAGCTCAACTTGAGGGTCAGCATTTGGTGATGCTGGCGGCAACCAGACATTACCTGTCCTTAGAGGCAAAGCTCCCCCGCCTGTAGGGTCTCTCTAGAAACTACATTTCTAATCACCCCACCTTCTTCTCTTTGATCTTTAGCCCCCGCATGAGGGTGGCTTCCTGTTTACACGTGACTATCTCAGAGCTACTTCAGCTTCCTCTTCTCATTTTTAAAGGATGAAACACCTGTCTAAGCATTTTCTTCATAAATTATCCCTGTTGAAAATCTAGCATGATTTTAGCTTTTTGACTGGAGTATGAGTGAAAGATGCCTGGAATGTGCTAGGGAATGTTGAATAGATGGATGGGGCTAGAGGTTGCATGTAATGGGGAAAGCAGAGTCCGGGAAGATAGAGGTAGCCTGGCCGTGAGGCTTCTACATAGCACATATCTGAGAAACAGATATGGGAAGAGTCCAAGCCTGGTGAGCAGGGAGGTGTGTGAAGGGGGAAAAAAAGGTGCTGAAGACCAAAGAGAGGACAGACTGAAGAAAAAAGCCCCCACAAGTCAGTCAATACTGAAATTTTCAATAGAACAGGCCTGGGCTAGGACAGAACAGAGAGAAAGCACAGATCCAGGGGCACTGTGTGAGTGGTTAAGAGATTCTGAGGTTTCCATTTTGGGTATTTGGATGCATCACAATGTAATTCATTAAGAAAAGGGGATTGCAAGAAGAATTTGGTCAGGAAAGAAAATGAACATTTTGGGGAATGACTGACTTTGACGGGGGCATGGGATGTAGGCTCTTCACAGGAGTCCTGTTCTTAGGTGGAAAAGCTGGTTACAGGGTCGAGAGGTAACCCGTCTCGGAGTTTCAGACTTGGAGCTGGGTGACGGTTGTAATTATGACAAAGGCTGAAAAGAAAGGAACAGAAGAAACTTGTCTGGGAGACTTCAGGTTAAGCATAAATGAAGACAGTGCATTGGACAGCAAGTGTTTCTGCACATCAGCCATCGACACAGGAAGACCAAGAAGGATGCAAAAGAGATGTCGACACGATAGAGGATCAAATGATGGTATAAAGTTAATCAAAGAATTCTTTCTGCTGGTGTTGATTGTGTCTCGGAATGAATTGGTAGAGTGGGAAAGTTTGAGAGAAAGGGTACTTTGAACTGGGTAGGAGAAACAGGCAAATGAGCACTGCATATTCTTGACTGAATCTGAGGAGTAATTAGAAGAATTGAAAAATTTGAGGAACTGATATTTATTGGAGATCTTTGATTGTCACTGTATTCTAGCGGTTCTCATCAGGGCATGGTTTTGCTTCCTGGGGTCATTTGACAATATTCAGAGACATTTTTGGTTGCCACAACTTGGAGGAGGGCATGCTATTGACTTCTAGTGGGCTGAGGCCAAAGATGCTATTAAATATCCTGATCCTGTAATGCACAGGGTAGGACCCCACGATGGCTACTTCTCAATTAACGTGGCAGGTGGAAGGATGACAGCTGGATTACCCTAGTGACTAAAATCAGCAGTTGTTTCTTTTTTTATCCTTTCAAAGATTTACTTATTTATGCATAGAACTGGGTCACAGGCCAGAGGTATGGGGTGAGAGGACTCACCAGAGACAGAGTGGGGAGCAGAATAGGCAGATCCAATGAAATACACCTCTGGGGGGAACAGTGGGTGAGACAGGAGAGGTCTGCTGCCATGTGGGTCACCTCTCTGGCCTGGGATCGAACTCGTGCTGCACTGGCTGTGGACAGCTTCATAGTGCTGA